AGGTAAAACGCGTAAGCGTATCAAATCATTATCAAACAAAAAATGGTTCGATAAAGAATGTCGTTTGAAAAGGCATGAATTACGAAAACTAGCAAACAAGAAACATCAAGACCCTTTGAATACTATCATACGTGAGCAATACCATGATACTCTGGCCCAGTACAAGAAATTACTTAATTCTAAAAAGAATGATTATTACAATGCCAAGATTTCTGAGCTAGAAAAAACTGCAGACAATTCAGACGCGAAAACTCTCTGACAATGCCTCAAATCGATGGACGACACTAGAAAAAGAGAGGATGTTCCATCAATCTCGAAAGAAAATTGGCTACAATATTTCCACAATCTTCATTCAAATGAACCTCTTAACCCAACGCAGCAAAACATTTGCAATGAGCTACGACAAAATGAATGCTATGGTCAACACTCTCGTCCTTTAGATTTTATGATAACTGAAAGAGAAATACGTAAAGCTGCGGAAAAGTTAAAGAGTTAAATAAATCACCATTTTCCAATAAAATTAGGAATGAAATGATAAAAGCTGGTGTTGATACACTGACGCCCGTATATGAAAAATTATTTAATTCAATTCTTAACCAAGGGACGATGCCACAGACTTGGTGTGGTTCGCCTGCGTAGCATGGCGGTTTTGTCGAGCCGGGCGCAAGTTGCTCCCGCCCCAATGTCCTCGCGGTTTCTCTGCCCTCGCCCGCCTTTATTACTTGGCGCGCCTAACCAAAACCGCTAAGCTACGCAGGCTAGGTGTGGTGGTCTTATTACTCCCACTTATAAATCGGCCGGACGAAGCGATCCGGCAAACTACCGGGGTGTCTGTGTCTCCAGCTGCCTGGGAAAACTATTTTGTTCTATCTTAAACCAACGACTTCTCGAGTATATCGTTTCTTTGAATATACTCCACAAATCTCAAATTGGCTTTTTACCAAATAACCGCACAGCAGACCACGTCTTCACTCTCCGAACCTTGCTAGATTAGTACGTTCATAATCACAACGAAAAGATCTATGCTTTTTTTGTAGATTTCAAAAAAGCTTTTGACTCGGTCTGGCATGACGGGCTCTTGAATAAGCTGCTGCAAATTGATGTTGGTGGTTCTTTTTATGACTTAATTAAAAGCTTATATCACAACTCTTCCTGCGCAATTATAATTGCCCAAAAACAAACGCGATCATTCCGTTATGCAGAGGTGTGCGGCAAGGCTGTATCTTAAGTCCACTGCTTTTTAATCTTTATATTAAGGACCTACCTTTTGCATTTGAAAACACATTATCTGATCCTTTTGTTTTGCCACAATGGTGCAAAACTAAATTCTCTATTATATGCAGACGATTTAATCATTTTATCACGATCCAAAACAGGACTACAAAATTGTCTCGATAAACTATCTTCATTTTGTTCTGTACTTTATGAATGATGAAAATCAATCCCAAGAAAACAAAAGTTATGGTTTTTCAGAAACGTGCGAGAAAAAATGCCGATTTTCACTTTCTTATAGATAGTCAAATAGTTGTACAAGAGTACACT